AGCTTCTTGTGGAGCTGTTGGGAGGGAGCCTAAATATTTATCCATTTGTCTAGTAAGAAGCGTACATGAATATTACCTAAACTTGCAAAAGCACCAGTAATCTGTTCCTGTATACTTGAGATCTTTTTAAAAATGTGAATAAAATCAACATTTCTAGGGTTATCTTCATGTAACACATTATCCCAGGATTATCAGGAAAGAATATTGTGACATATAACTACCATATTAATAAAATAATGACCTCAAATTATACCTAACATATTTAGTATTTAAGTGAATTGAAATTTCTCATTTGATAAATAGAAGAACATTTTCTATTTGTGCTACTCAACGGAATGTGCTAGCTTTGATCTTAAGCAAAACAGTCAAATTATTTAAAGTTTCTTATGTGGCATTGATAATTCATGTTGAAGCCACAAGCCTTTAAGTATACTATCAGGTTTACAAACATTCTTGCAGTGGCTGTGAATAAAACATTAACATATCAGGTGTTTCAGGATTAGTGTACAACATTTTTTAACAGTGAAATGGAGAATACAAAGCAGCTAGGGGGAAAATATGGTGTTTGGTTCATTGTAATAACAGCTATATGCAAGTTCATACCGTACTTCTAAAACTTCATGAACATGCTTGAGAAATTTCATTTTCACTTGCTGAGATCATTTTGCTTGCTGTGAACCTTCATAATTCACTGCATGATCAAGGCTTGCCACTTAGTTTTTTAAAGTTTTATAATTTTTCCTTCGCCACCCTAACTTTTCTGCTAAAGTATTGAATAATAAAAGTAGTTGAAAGCGATACTGTGCAATATTACAGTAACTACTTTCTCATCAGGTACCTGCAGCAAACCTTTTATGAACAAAGTGAATTTGAAGTATTTCTTGTGATTCCTCTTTTCTTTTATAAATTAAATTTACTCTTGGTAGCAGGAATTACAGAAAAATAGCAGAATTGATCACCAGTTTACTACTCGACATACTAAACATTGATAAGTCTGCTGATGCAGTCAATATATAATAACCTAATACAAACACAAACTACTTTTACTGTGGATTACTTTTTTTTGTTACTGTAATACCTTTAGTCAGATGTTTTTTAGACCTCTTCATCTAAAAATCTGTTCAGTGTCTTAGAAGTAATGTATGACTTGTGCTTATAAAATTGAGAATGGTTGTGCGAAAAGGGCATTGCAGTATGTAAATGCTACATATGTCAAATCACAAAACCATTTAATAAAGAGGAGGACTTTAGGAGAAAAGGGTATGGTGGCTTGAGAATGTCTACGCTCCAGTGTATGAAGATGAATCCTTATCTTTCACTCTGGAAACTGTTCGCCCCTTTTCTGCCTGCAAGTGAATCTGAAATGCCATAGTCCTTCTATCAAGGATATTCTTTGATTTTAAGCCAAAATCATCATAGATGAAGTTTAGTTAAAAGTGTGTTTTTATTTTTTTTATTTTTATTTTATTTTTTGGGTGTCAGTCATGGTATTTTAAATAATTCTCAATTGTGTCTTCATTTTCTTGGGGTGGGAGTCAGGGACTGTAAGTCTGTGTAAAGAGGATAGCTACAGGTAGGTAAAAATAATGACCAGTTATGTTCAAGTTTTTATTTGTCCATTCAAAAAAGAAAAATGATCCTTCATTAAATTAGGGTAAGTTTTTGCCTGAACCCTAATCTGCATTAAATTAGGGTATGGGATCTCCATCCTAGTCACCTAGAAAGACATCTGTGTTTTAAATTGCCACCCATGTCTGTCTATGTGGACCACGTGCAGTATTTATAGTACTTTGCTGGTTTCCCATTGTTTAAGTTTTAAGTTGTATAATTCATTGCTTTTGTTGCTGCTTTAACAGTATTTACATCTTCTGTATGGAAAACAGTTTACATTGTCCTATTCTTGGAATTCCGCAAAGGATTTTTCTCCTGTGATTGAATATTGTATTTAAAAGTGAGAGAAATCAAGCTAGAGGAGGAAATTCACATTTTTTTTGGTATCTTATAAAACTTTCTGAACAGTTATTTGTGTATTAATACAGATGTTTCAAGACTCTCAAATCCAAAAGGAGGTTTTAAAATCAATTTCTTGTTGCATTATATTATTGCATTATGTTTTTTTTAAAGGTGAACCACAAAAAAAGTAGTGCTGTGCTTGGCAGTGCTTTTTTATGATGTATAAAGTGAGCCTCAAGTTTTTTTAAAAATTTCTATTTGTGAGTTTTTATATTAGTAATACCAGGTCCTGACTTCCTCTCTCATGGAGTTGAGATGATGGTGACAGTTTTCCAGTTACAAGAGGGAAGTCAGGATCCAGTACTTCTGATATTCTTTTTAGGTGAGGTTCTGTACTGTGCCTCAGCCCATGAAGTGGCTTCAAGCTTTCCCAGTTCTGGGGTACTTCATGCTCCCCAGACAGCCATGGTGGGGGTGGGGCACTGTTTAAGTTACAGCAGCATGGCCTGGCTGCCTGTGTGCTGCAGCACTGCCCGGAATCTCTAGTGTTGCAGTGCCACCCCTGATATGCCCTTCTCAGCCCTGGAATGCCTCTTATGCCAGTGTTTGTGAGGGGTCCTCAGAAGACAGACTCACAGTTATCTGCCTCAGCCCTGCTCCTCCTGTGGCTGGATCTGAAATTTTAAGAGCCCATTTGCACTGCACTAACCCTTCCACGGCGCATAAAAAGTCCAGAGAAGTAGTGAGGATTTCATCTTATGTTTTTCTGGCTCTTTTGTATAAAAACAAAATTGTATAGGGTTGGGGAAAATCTTAGATCAACTTTAGTCCTTGTAAAAGAGCAGTAGAAATTAAAAATACTGTTCCATTTTGTAGTCCGTCTTTAAATCTGGATATTGCTTAGCAATATCTAATGAATTGTTGCATATCTGTGGGGTTTTTGTTCACTGTAAGCTGATACCACAGATGTCGCATGCACCTTAGCCCAATTACTGTAAATACTACAAACTTGCTTTTAAAACCATTATACATTACATGTAGACACTGTACTTTGAGCAGTAATTAATTACAGAAAATGCTGTTATGTTATGAGCAAGTATGAGTCAGATGTCTCCAGAAGACCACCATTCTTTTTTGCCATGTTGCTTACTCAGAATTCAGGGTCCTTACCAGTTTATAATAAAACCTTAGATACTTTCCATCTCTGAAGGCTTAATCTTTTGTTTATTGGAATAGCTTTTACATTTTTTTTCTTGCCATTTGTTTATATTAGTTGCATTACTTAAGTCCCCCAAGTATAAATATTATACAGGAATATTGCTGTCTAAGATCGTTAGTTTTGAGAATTGCCTAGGTAAACTTTAATTTTAAAAAATTGCTAATGTATTAAGCACTATGTTAAGCCTCAGTAGACACATTTTTAATGTTCTTAATTTAGAGAATATTAAATTTAAATTTCTATCTTTCCAAATACCTTTTTTGCTTTTTAAAACCATTTTGTAGACTTTTTAAAAAAAGTAATATCAGTGAGAGCAGCCAGCAGTTTGTCTAACTCTCTAGCTGCTTTTGGGTCTCTTTCTTGTGTTGTAAACCTGAAATACGGACACAGGTAATTCTAGGTATGTTTCAGCAAGACAGTCAGTCTTGTTTTCACATTCTACATCTGACCATACATGTGCAATGAGTTGTTTTATTAAGGGGAAACGTTTCGGTGTTTAAAATAAGTTTTAGCTTTTCTGTACACTAGATTTGATTCTAGTTTCTATCTTTAAATAATTCTTTATGCTTTTCAATTAGGAACATCTGTATTTAGAAACTAATAATGGGGAGAGGTTCTCTGTATCCCATTGGGCTCTGAGTTGGAAATTGTTTAATCAGTATTTCTACTACAAATCCTTGTTTTCAGGGGATACAACTTGTCATTTGGCCATACAAAAAATCTACATGATAATAATGCTTGGCATAGAAAGACTTAACTCATGAGCATTTCCCCCCCTTAAATATTAAAGGGGAAAAAATCAGCTTCTTTAGTAAGTGGGTAGAAGAAAATCAAATGATTCATGCTTTGTTTTGCATTCCATTGAAAATGTTAGGCCCAGCTTTTCAGAATTGCATGCACATAATTACTGTGATTGTGTGCAGTTGTTGTACTGGAATGTACACATTTTTGGTGGTGGTGGTGGTGCAGTTCTAAAAATATGTACCTTTGATCCTAAATTATATATTTTTCAAGTCATTGCTTTTTAAAAGAAATACTAGAATAAATCATTAGAAAACCAGCTACTGTACAAACACGTTTAAAATAGAGTTGTATGGGTTTTTTGCACCTCATACAGACTTGGGATCAGATCATTAGTTCGCTGTAAATTGGCGTAGCTGCATAGAAGTTTGCAGAGCTACGTCAGTTTACACCAGCTGGGGGTCTAGCCCCTGGTATATAGGCATGGCAGCAACTTTGTCTAAATGGCAGTACTAGAATAAAATTAGTTGTAAAATGTTTTTATTTTACAGATATATTAATGAGTGGTTTTAACTGATTAAAGACTAGAGCAGAGGAAATTAACACACAATAAAATTGTTTAATGTTTGACTTGATGCAAGCCAATAAAATTAAGCTATGACTGTTAATGTCCCAGTATTCTTAGGAATTGCAGGTGTCTCAAATGAATGATTTGAGATTATGTATCATGTAAGTGGCTTTAGGATCAGTACAAGTTAAAGACTGTATGTTAGCTTCAGCTATATCTCAGTGTGGTGATTTTACAACCTACATATTACTTAGCTTGGTTTCCTCTGGTCCTTCCCTACTCCCATATACTTTTCATCAAATTGACACAGCGTGTTTCCATAATATTTTAGACTTCATGTGAACTGTTTTCTCTTTCTGGTTTAGTATTTCCAAATAACCCATTTCATTCCAACCCAAACTACCATCTGGTCTTTCTAATCTCGTAACCATGGGAACAATTTAAGTGTTAGTGTTGTCTGTCTATACCACTTGTAGGCTTCACCTGTGTTTGTATTTTTTTCTTTACTTCTGTATACAGGCTGGTTTAGCAGGAGCCCCAGCCCGGGCTGTGTCAGCTGTAAAGAATATGAATCTTCCAGAGATCCCAAGAAATATTAATATTGGTGACATCAGTATAAAAGTGCCAAACCTGCCCTCTTTTAAATAAAATGGCTACTACAGGTAAAATCAAGGAAAAATGTAATTGAGGTTTATCAAACAAAGAAATTTATAACTTTTGCTATTTGGATAAAAAGTAAAGGTACTGCATAGAAATTCTGTGTAAAATCTGTATGTGAAGTTGAATGTTGCTTTTGTCTTGCGCAATGATTTTAAAGGAAATGGGTAGTTCCTGTGTGACTTCTAAATTACATTCCTATGCCCTTGTAAGGCATAACACTGTCTTGGCTGCTGCAGTATTTTGGAAAAGTATTTAAGATATTCTTTACTTTATATAACCTATAATGTTAAGTCTTTTTGTATATCCACTAAGGTCTATGATTAGTGCAGCATTCCTTAACTACTTCTGCTGTTTGTCATGATTATTTAAGATCCAAGTGTGTATGTTGCATGAAAACGTTAAACTGTCTCTTGTTTTTGTTTAAATAAAGTCATAATTAACTGGACTTCTAATCACGTTTTTGTCTGAAATCTACTCTTAGGCCTGGTCCACACTACCCCCCCACTTCGGACTAAGGTACGCAAATTCAGCTACGTTAATAATGTAGCTGAATTCGAAGTACCTTAGTCCGAACTTACCGCGGGTCCAGACGCGGCAGGAAGGCTCCCCTGTCGATGCCACGTACTCCTCTCGGCGAGCTGGAGTACCGGCGTCGACGGCGAGCACTTCCGGGATCGATCCCAGAACATCGATTGCCTGCCGCCGGACCCTCCGGTAAGTGTAGACGTACCCTTAGCAACAAATCACTTGCTTCCTATTTGTTGAGCAAAGTGTGTGTATAAAAAAAATTGTGTTAGTGTTAATGTATTATTTTGGTGTCCAGATGTTGAAAGAATTATACTAAAATATTGTGTGAATGTTCTGGAACTATGAACTTCATACAAAGATTATTCAAGATTGTTTTGAAGAAAAAAATTGCCTCTATTAAAAATGGGTAGATATGTGTAGACTTCTGTTACAAAAAGATGTTTTCAAAAGTAGCATTTGTGTGTTCTAAATTCTGAAAATCTTTTCCTGTTGACCTGCGTGTGCTGAAAAATAAAGGATGGTGGCATAGTGGGTTGCGCTTCCGGGAGGGTCTTATAGTTGTGCGAGAGGGGGAAGAGAAGAAGGTTATGAGAGTAGTGGGCAGCTGGGAACACAGGGTCTAGGAAGGGGTTGCTCTTTAAGGGAGAAAAATGGAGAACTAGAGGTAAACTGGGCAGCCAAAAGGGAATATCATGCTGGTGTACTGCTGGCATGGAAGGGTATGGTGTGGTGGGAAGGAAGCTGGTTAAAAAGACCTGGCAGCTAGGATAAAATGTTTGTTAAGGAAAGTGGGGGGAGGGAAAATACCTAGCTCAAAGACTGGTTTGTTAGATTCAAAAACTGATGAGCTACCCTCATGTTAAATTTTTGAAAGGACCAAGGTTTCAAATATTACTTTGATTTCCATGAGTTAAAATATAAAGTGTATCAGCAATTCAACAGCTCCCTTGTTTGAAAACAGAGTAGTCGTGGAAATTGTAACAAATTATAGTACTTAAACTGTTATAATGATATGTTCACAGTCTGAGTTGAATTCAGCTCTACCTGCAAACAGCTTTTATTCACTCACCTCTTGAAGAGCATGGTGTGGTGTCCATATTTGCTATCAAAAGTACATGTCTGTGAAATTTCAAATTTATTTCTGAATCATTGTCTGCCAAGGCCAGATGTTATGTTTGTAGTGTAGCGTGCGTGCTTCTGCCATGAAATTCCAAAGAGCTGTAAATATAACAACTTTAATAGTTTGGACGCAGAAAAATAGCATGTTAATTAAATCTGCAGGTTAAATGTGGGGAGAGAAGGGTTGAATTAGATATGTAGACAGATATAAAACAAGATAAGTTAGAAACATGACTAGGAAATAACACAATGAGATTCAGCTACAAAAATGCAAGTTTATATAACTAGGATATAATAATCAGAAACAGATATTCAGTTGGCTTGAGATCCTTGGAAAGCAGTAATGTTTTAAAGGCCTGTGGGTGGTAATGGGCAGGAAATTGGTATGCTGTTGAATTTGCAATGTGATAAGGTAGCCAGGAAAAAAAAGGCAAAAACAAATTATGGGACAGATTATCAGAGGGCGTAAATTGTTGTAGTGCCAGTGGAAGGAGGGAGTTGCCATTAGAACTATGACAATTTACATCAGCTAAGAATCTGCCTCTTTGATTTTGGGCTGGGTCCACTGATGCATTCCTTCATGGATCACAGAAGTAAAAGTACTGCTCTGTGTAGCACTGGAAAGACTGCGTCTAGAATAAAGCATGTAAGGGAAAACTGCAAAGAATGAGGGAAATATCCACTGTGAGAAGGTGCACTGTCACAGGCATTCCACATATTTTGTCTTATTACCAGTAAGCATTGGGCCAAAGGTTTAGAGTTCTGCTGACTAATAACCAAAGTGTTGCATTTGTTTTGTTCAGTGTATTTTTTAGCATAGGGCCAGTGAGAATATTTACTGATTGTTTGTTCTGTCCCTAACTTCATAATAATATCTTTATATTTCCTTTACGTTAACTTGACCAAATCTGCTGTTTTAAAGGAGCTATTTTTCAGGGCCAAAATCCAGCCTTTGTTTCCAGGGATTCTGAAGTTCTACAGACACTGGGAAAGGGGCCATTCTTCTGTGCAACGGTGTTTGGGTGGGGGGGAGGGGGAAGGGCTTGTGGTGGGGGTGGCATACAACCCAATGCCTTAGGTGTCCTATGGTAGGGATGAGTTCAGGGCTAGGGTTCCACCATCTTGGAGACACTTGTATCTTCAGGCCCTCGGTGCACATGGGGGTTGCTGAGCCTAATTCAGCTGGAGACAGTCTGGCCTGGCCACCTGGGGTGGATGCTGGATCAAGGATCTTAGTAGTAGTACATCTGAGTCACTGAATTATTTGTTTTTCATATAGATTCACTGACCCTTTCCTGTTGAACCACAGGCACTTCTGGCGTCTATCTTCTATTCTCCTTTGTGAACATAAGAAATAATTCAGGGAGTATTTCAGTAATGGTACATATCATATTCTGTTGCTAAATTATTATTGTCATATCATGGAGTCTGTGCTTGCATCTACACAGGTTTCTGTTCCCCATTATAGGCAGAGTTAGTAGCAATGCCCATAATTAATGCTGCCTAACATTCTTCATTATAAGTTTCTATTTTCAGTTGTTTATAACATTGCCAGAATTTAAGCAATTGAGGTGAAACTTTCCATGTTTTTATTTTTATTTATTATTTGTATTATGGAAGTGCCTAAGGACCAGCTGAGAACAGGGTCACATTGTGCTAGGCCAGTGGTTCTCAAACTTTTGTACTGGTGACCCCTTTCACATAGCAAGGCTCTGAGTGTGACCCTCCCCCTTGTAAATTAAAAACAGTTTTTTATATATTTAACACCATTATAAATGCTGGAGGCAAAGCGGGGTTTGGGATGGAGGCTGACCGCTCACGACCTCCCCCCCGTAATAACCTCGCAATCCCCTGAGGGATCCAGACCCCCAGTTTGAGAACCCCTGTGCTAGGCAGTGTACAAATAGAGTAACACAGTCCCTGCCTAAAGAGCCTAAAGTCTTAATAGACAAGACAGACATGGGGTTGGGAAAATGGATAGAACTGAGAAGCAGAGTGAACTGAGGGATGATTTGCAAATAATGTGGTGTTGGCACAATTTAAAAAAAAAAAAAAAAAGACCTCTGCAGTGGGTTCTTGTTAGGGGAGTGGGTTAGCGAAGCTGACAGACAAAGCAAGGGACAGAAGGGAGAGCATAAGGAGATAAGGGCACTGTTAAAAAGGGAGGGAAGAATGGAGGGGGAGCACATGGCAGATGGAATGAGGCTGAGGTGAACAGACTGAGCAAGGGGGCAGACCAGTCAGCAAAAGGGAGAGAATGGCCAGATTCAAACTGTAGAAAGCAGTCTGATGATATCTGCATTTGACAGTCCCTGCAATAGTAGTAACTACTGAGGATGCTCCTTGCCTTTACTCCTGCAGACTTGAGTTTCTCTTGCCCCAGGGCTGTGTCCTCCCTCTAATCTCTAATTCACTGTGAATTTTTTTGGAACATTTCAATGAAAATGATTTAGCCATTTCTAAGGATGGGGGTAGGGAAGAATAGGTGGTAAAACTGCTGCTGCTGGCGGTAGCTCTGGCTTTAGACCTGGGCGCCCAGGCAGCAGCCTTCCTCTCTGGCTGCCCAGCTCTGAAGGCAGCGCCCCTGCCAGCAGCAGGGCAGAAGTAAGAGTAGCAATCCCATGACCCCCATATGTTCCCCTGCAATAACCTTGTGACCTTCTTCCGCCTCCCCACCCCCGGCTGACTCTTGTGTTGGGACCCCCATGTTACAATACCTTGAAATTTCAGATGTAAAGATCTGAAAATATGAAATTGACTAATTTAAAAAAACCCTGACCATGAAACTGGTAGGGCCCTACTCATGTCTCCTGCTTACCACTGATCTGCCTGTAAGCCAGCGGTCCCCAAACTTTTGAGGGTCTCGCCTCCTCTTCATTTGCACACCAGTCTGAGGACAGCTCGAGAAGATTTTCTTGCTGACTGACAGAGAGGTTACTGCTGCTAACATCCTGACAAAATAAATGAGTTTCTGACCCAGTTGAGCTGAGTTGTGTTGAATGTTGGGGAAATATGACTTGAAATCAGACGGCAAGTGGGCTAAATGATCTACTATTATTTCTTTAATTTTGCTCTGCTCAGTTTCCCCTGTGCAGACAGCAGTGACAGGCATGAAGTAGTGGAAAACAGGTAAAGTCTTTGTCTCCATATTTGTGGACTCCCATAATTCAGTTTTCGTGATAAAAGCATTCACTTTGTCATAGCGATTTAGAATGTTAGTGCCACGGCCTTGTATGGACAAATTTAGATCATTCAGCTAAATATATCCATGAGGGAGGCCAGTTAAGCTAACCGCACAGTATTGTTAAACACAGAGGCAAGAGGTTAATGAATGATCAAGAAGAAATGTGAACTTCTATGTGTAATTCAAACAGTCTGTCAAGTCCTTTCCCTTTTGAAAGCCAGCAAACCTTTATGTGAAGCAACAGTTGCTGATGTTCTGACCCCATCTCTTCACAAAGAATGCGAAACAGGCGAGCATTGAGTGGCCTGGACTTGATAAAGACGACAATTTTGACGGACTCATCTAAAACTTCATGGCGCTCAGAACTCATTTTTTGAAGCAAGTGCCTAGAGGGTATGCTACAATGCACCCACTGCAAGGAAGGATTTTCTTTCCTGATCCTAGCTACAAGTCCATTCACTCTCCTGGTCATTGCAGCAGCCCTGTCAGTGCAGATGAATTTGCATAAAATCCAACTCAAATGATGTTCAGAAAAAAAAAGTCAATTAGTTTAAAAATGGCCCCTCTGGTTGTGTTTGCCTTTATACTTTTGCAAAACAATATGCGCTTGTTGA